CCGACTAAACCCTACAATCCTAAAGTTGAAAAACCCTAAAGACTCAGAAACCCTAAAACCCTAAACCCTTCCTAAACCCCTCCTGAACCCTAAACCCCAAACCCTAAGCCCTAAACCCCAAGCCGTAAGCCCTAAACCCTAAGCCCTAAACCATAAACCCGAAGCCCTAAGCCCTAAACTGCCTTCGGTGGCGGCAGCGCCTACGCGCTTCGCACGTATGTTTTCCATGTACCCTAAAAGCATCGGTGGCGCATGGCGGTCATAAAACAAAAACTGCCTTCCTGGAGATGTCCATAATTAGAATAGGGTTTTTGGGACCATTCTAATACAATTATACATAAGAAACCTTCCAAAATAGCTAGTGGTAATGATGCATGAGATGTGGCAGGGGGTCTTTGAATTGAACCCCGCACCCCCAGGATCCTCTAAACCCTAAACCCTAAACCCCAACCAAAAACCGAAATCTCAATTTGAAGCCGGATGTTCAGCTCAGGGCAGCTGCCTTTGGCCTCACCCCTGAGCAGGAGGACGTGTGCATGGGGTTTCGGGTTTAGGGCTGAACCATGGTTTAGGGTTTAGGGTTTAGGGTTTCGGGTTTAGGGCTGAATTATGGTTTAAGGTTTTGGGGTTTAGGGTTTAGGGTTTAGGCATTAAGAACAATGAGGCAGTCGGCATTGGATGTTTCAGCTGCTACTGCTGCTGCGGCTGCTGCTGCTGCTGCTGCTGCTGCTGCTGCTGCATGCGCGACGAGTACTGCAACGCAACGAGCGCTACAACACATACGTTCGTTCCTGTGCAATGGGACCTGTCGGAGTACGTACTGCGATTCTTGCTATGCCTGATAAGCTCCCCCAACCTCCAAAACCCCACAGTTCCCTTACTACAAAACTCTTGCTAAACAAATTCTAAGAGTTCCTCCTAAGATGATACATCTGGGGGAATTGAGATTTTGAGGGTCGGCCAGGAAGTGCACTCATGCAAACAACTGTACCTTATGGTGCCTTTGTCTTTCATAACAATCGGGGTACCTTGTGGTATTTTGTTAAGGGGGTCCCCTATAATCAGTATCCCATGATTGATGGCCGGAAATTGAAGTTCTGAGCTTTTATTAAAGCCTTACAGCCTTGGAGGATCTGCACAGTTTGCGCCCAAGAAAGCTCTACTGCCTGGACTTACGCCCTATCCCTAAACCCCTAAACCCCTAAA